TCAGTTTGCAAACTCTTTCGCCAGCGTTGGAGGGACTAGATTAACTGAAAGACGCTATATGGTTACAATTGCAGGTGAAAGTCTGGTAAGTTCTGGACATGGAGTCGGAAAGAATGTACTGTATAGCACTGGGGGAAAGATGTAGCTGTATGTTGATAAGCACTTAGTCATTTCGCCTTTATTTAAAAATAAAGAAACTCTAATTGTTTGTGAAGCCTTGTCTAGGCAAACGAGTTGACTGTGAACTTGGTCTAAAGCGAGCTCTGCTGGTGATTCCTAGGGTGTGCAGATTTATCTTTTCTGCATTTACTTAACCTGGCAGTGAACTGCAAGGGCTGCCATTTGTTATCCAGAGACAGACTTCACCTCAAGCAAGGACTGTTTCACAAAATTGCAATAATTACCCAATAACCTTCATAACAAATATTATTATTGAAAAGACATTTTTTTGGCTATACGACAGATTCCGTATGTGCACTATAAAAGGAAACCTTTGCAAATCTTGCACATTCTGCATGTCATATGTACATATGCAGCTATATATACATATGACTAAGATGGTTCATGAGTGTTTGTTTTCCTCCGAAATATAAGTGAGGATGCTTTCATTTATAAAGGAGAATACTTTCAAATATAAGCAGGCTACTGTAGGAGTCATAGCTTTGTACTGTTCATAAAAACTCTAACACTGAATTGTGTCTATCTGAAGCTTAAAAGAGAGAAAAAGGTAAGGGGAAAAGAGATTTCTTAGCTTGGTCAGAAGGTTTATTTAATTATGCATTTAATTTATTATATCTGTATTAGCTGTGAGGGGAAAATACATTCCTTCAGGACGCACGATTGGAAATCGAAAATTATGATCAGCCCATATGAATCTGTTATAGTCAATTTCCCATAGAGCAAACAGAAAACATTTGTGTTCTCACCCTTCTACAGACACACCCTTACTAAATGTAAGGAAATGGGAGAATAGTAATTTCGCTATGTTTAATAATTACTACTTGTGCAAGGCTCAGACAAATCTACCAACCTAAAATTATTTGACTTTCACAAGACATGTTATACTTATAGTTTAGTGAAAGTTAAGACTTATAAATTACTAGGTATATGCACAAACGGGTTGCCTAAACTTTAATTAGCCTTATGCTTGGACACGACACGCTACACTCACGTATTTCTTTCAAATGAGTTAGTAAATTATATTTTAATACCAAGTAGACCACCACTTACGATGATTTCTGTAAAACAAACTCAGGTGCACTGAGTCCAAAAATACCATAGAAAAATAATATGCACAGAAAAGAACTAAATCTTGATTCCAAATAATCATTCTCTATGAAGGAACCAGCCGCTTCCCCTCTGAAGACAGGTTCTGGGAAAGGTTTTAGAGTTTTGCGTTTTGAAGGTATTGAGTTTTCCGTTCCAGTCTGGATTATAAAATCTTAATGCAATTCTGTTTTAAGAGGATTCAAGCTGTCATAACTTTGAAAGGGTGATTCAAGACTAGAAATACTTTAAAGTTGTAGTAATTTTTCAATCAACTTTATTTTGTGTCTCAAGAGTGTGTCTCGTAGTTCCTTGCACAATGTGCGTGTTTATATATCTGCAAATATTGGGATATTTTCACAATACCCAAACACATCCACACTGTATCTTATATATAGCATGCTTGAGAAACTAAAATTCAAAGAAGTTCACGTTGGTAGCAAATTATTTTACTTCCTTCACTGATAATTCACAAGCTCAGATGACATTAAGGTCCCTTAAAATAGAATTTAAGTATATTTGCCTTGAACTTTGTGCCAATTCTCACAATGGAGCTAAGAAACTAAGATATTCAAACTATTATCTTTAGTTTTAATCTATGAAATAGCAGAAATAAGGGCTTTTTATTCAGAAAACAACCAACATATGAAAGAAGTCAAAACTTTGAAACTAGCCTAAGTTTGATTTTTTCCCATTAAACACTGCCTGGGTATTATGACATATAATTACATGTATTACTATGAAATATAACTTTGCTGTGTTCCTGATACTGAATCTGTTATATTCGTGTAACATGAAACTGCCAGCTGTTTGTTATGGGAATTATTCTAGTTTGTACTTTGGCTATAAAGTGCAATAAAGAATGCACTTTTAAAGTCTACCTTTTTTCTATTTTATTATAGCAATGATATGCAAATAACTTTATTTAGTGTTCATAGAAAGATACTAAAACACAAAAGTATCTCAAACTTTTTAATCTTATGTTGGGAATTAACTCAAAATATTAAAAGTTTGTAAACCTACCATATCTTTTGGAGTAGCTCGAGGAGTTAACCTTGACTATATGATAGTGTTTTATCAATGTGTACTCTTGATTATTTGAAAAAATTTAAAAAAAGCTAGAATGAATTTTCTATTTCATTCTTAGACCTTGCAGAGGTATTATGTTATAAAGGTGCAAATAATAATCTTCATAATTTTCCTGAACTTCTAACACCTTTCTGCCATTTTGATAATAGTTTCAGCTAGCGTATATTAAGAAAATTAACAATACTCAAAGAGAAAGGAATCTAACAAAATAAAGCCAGAAATCATCCAGTGACAAACAACTCAGTTCTTTTTTAATCTCGAATTTATGGCGTGTCAGGAAAAACAATATCATTGCACTGCAGTTTTAAAGAACTCTGTTGAGTCTGGTGTACTCGACAATGACCAAACCTTAGTTATGAAATAGATAGATAGATAGATAGATAGATAGATAGATAGATAGATAGATAGATAGATAGATAGATAGATAGATAGATGTCAAAATTTGTATTTAAATCCTGTGGGCCTAATCCTTCAAACCTTTACTCAACTGAGTAGTCATCACCCCAATAGTCCTAATAGGTTCAGTGAGACTACTCACCTAAGCAATGATCTTATGAGTAAGGATTTTCAGGATCTGGCTCTAGTTCTACAAAGAAGGAGAGAGACAGAGAGAAAGTGAAAGTTCCTTTCGCCCTTTCATTCAGCCCTGAAAATTCAAAGACTAAAGTTAAATCCGGCCATAAAGTTTACTGCTGAGTAATCACACTCTGGTGAGAATAGTCTACTTAAATAAAAAGAATGTTGAAGTAAACACGCAGCTGGGGCCTACCTCACAATTGCCAGCCAGTAATATTTGTAGCTATATAGAGACGGGTTATTTACAATTGTCTATAACCTGGTCTGTATTTCATAATTTGCAGCATTGTGACTTGCAGTAGCTTGTATTAACGTTACAAGTTACAGTCAATGTGTTCCCTTAGAAAAAAACAGTGGAAATACAAAAAATGTATACTGTCTCTGGAAAAAGGTATAACAAAGTTGTAAGTGGTTATGAGTGCCCGCACATACCACGTATACACATATGGATACATAGTCATATAAATATAGCTATCTATACAACACAGAGCAGTAAAGAGGAATCCTAAACAGGAAAATTCAATCTATGCCATTTTAATGCTTGCTTTGGTGTGCAAAATATTTTCCAATCCAAAGATTACTACCACATCGGCACACCTACGAGTTACCATGCCTCTATAAGGCACTTCTCAAATAATATCAATCCATGTAATTCCCTTTTTAAAAAATCGCTGCAGTATCTACTCTTTGCTAAACAAAACCTTTCTAAACTGGAAAGTCTATGGAGCAAAGGAAGTAATTATCTTTTGCAGTAGTCAAAGTAATTAAAGTTAGGCCTCAGAATCCATCTCTGCCAAAGACGCTTGTTGTGGTTTACTTTGATTTGATTGTTAAAATATCGAGCTAGCTGCTGAACTTTAGAATCAGAGAGGGGAAAACTTTTTAGCGCAACCTGTATCCTTACTAGATTATTCTGCATTTTTGTATTCAATGTGACAGTCCTGAAAGGATCGAGCCAGAGAGAGTCCAGTTCGACACTGTACAAATAAACTTTAAGGAACTTGTGCATAAAACTTACCTTGACTTGTAAGGAGCCATTTTTCATAGAATACTGAGAACTTGTGATTTGGATACTTCTGTACCTAAAACTGACAATTTGAATGACCAGGAGGCACACGTAGCCTGCAAAAGAGTCAAATGAAGTCCAGCGTCAGCGAGATTATATGTTATGTGGTATATAATGTTGGATGTCAACTCCCCAAAACCATAAAACTTACTTTAATGGCACCACGTGACTTTTTATAGCCAGTGAGCCTATCTGTCTGTGCTATGGATGATTTTACGATCTAATTCATAGACAAAACCCTATTCATTTGGCACCCAAATGTCATATAGCCGGAACTGGGGCTTATAAAGTTTACTGTTTTATAACTTTTAAGGGAAGGCATCAGTGTAACCAGTCAGTAAATGTGCAAATCTCTAGTTGCTCTTAGAAGCTCAGAAGAGTTAACCATTCAAGCTCTGATGGGGTAAGTAACATTACATTTATAGAAAACTAATTGTAGCGAAAAAACAAATATCTGTAAAGGGTGAAAAGCGGGAAGGTGGCTATAGGGTGTTGTTTATAGACGCAAAGATCTCTGATGTGGCTGTCCTGCAAATATGCTTAATTAAACCTCACGAGTAATTATATAGCAAGGTAAACACGCTCTGGGGTTGGGAGTGTATTTTAACAAAGCACATGTTTTTCAACAATCACCAACCAGCTACCAGTTTATTCACCCACAGAGAGTGTTGATTGTGGTTCTGCAATGCAGCTTTCCACCTAACGAGAAACCATTAAGGAGGAACTTATGGTCAAACTTTCAATTAAAAGGATTGGTGTCGGATAATTGCACTTGTATCATTTGCAAAATGTAGCATAAGGTCCTATCCAGGTAAAATATTACAAAAATCTGCACTATTTAAGAAAAAAAAGCACCAGATTAGGAAGTACAGCTTCAAAATCAGATCACGAAAACTTACAATAGAAAGTTTATTTATTTATTTTTGTCTGTTTGTTTCCAGTCAGTTTTTTTAAAAAACAAATACAAAAAAAAAAGAAAAAAAAAAAAGAAAGAAAGCTGATCACAGTTTGCTCAAACAGCCAGACTTTGACTATATTTGTAACTTTGTTCACAAAAAACATACATTACTGATGCTGCGCTTAATAAGAGCCACTTCTAGGAGTTCGTGCAAAGAGTCATACAAAGGCACAGCAAGGACATACTGCTTGGAATCACAGTTTTCGTCACAGATTCACTATTCACTACACGTAGGACAAGTTCAGTTGTATTTCATCATTTCACCTCTACAACAGAATTAATTACACAAGAATTATATAGGTAGTTTGAATAAAAATATTTTAACAGCTTGGAGCTATACAGTTATTAACACTTAAACACACATGCACAGTTAAGCAAATTGAGTGCAACACATAACATTTGTACTAAAGGAGGGGAATTCTCTCTCTTTTTTACAGTTACTTCAAGTAACACAGCTCGCTTCATATAAATAAGTTAAAACATCTAAATTTTCAAGACAAAGCCATTCAAGACAAAGAAATGTATGGGAAGCAGATCTACTTATACACGCGATATAATGGTAAGAAACAGGCTCATGATTAAAAGATGAATTAGGGCGACAAGAACAAGGTTTCTTCACAGAAGTAACACAAGGAAGTTTTAGAAAGTCAACTTAGTACTGACATTATGCGCAGGGTCAACTAATACTGCTCAGTACTTTTTAATTGATCAATTTCTTAAGGACGAAAAGCCCCTCCTGCAGCTGCCATGCTCATGCTTTTCAGCTTATTATCCTTTTTCCATTTCATTCTCCTGTTTTGGAACCAGATCTTTATTTGTCTCTCTGAGAGGCAAAGAGCATGTGCTATTTCAATCCTTCTTCTGCGGGTCAGGTATCTATTGAAGTGAAATTCTTTTTCCAGCTCCAGGGTCTGATATCGGGTATAAGCAGTCCGAGCCCTTTTTCCTTCTGGTCCCCCTATGTTGTCTGTAACAGAAAAGTGAATGATTTAGTCTCTCCCAGCGACCTGCTCCTGTATTTTATAAAGCAGCCCAGAGCATCAGTAGTACCGTTATTCTTGGTCCTGTTTTTGTTTTTGATAAATGCTCAACAAGTACCACCTTTTCTGTAGACATTTTTAGAAGGGTAAACCAACAGAAATCCTGAGCTAAGCTGATGAGTGCATTGTGGATCTGAGGCTAGGTGGGATTTCAGAGATAGGCAAGCAAAGCAAGGACATTCAGATCTGTCACAAGATTTAGTTTTAGAATGCTTTGTAACTAACAATATCATTCCTGTTTCATAATGAGAAGGGGCATGGCAGGTTTTTTTGTTTGTTGTTTTTAATTATAGAGCAGAAGGCAACCACATAGCCTTCCCATACCCCCGGTCCTCACCCTTAGTTCTTTTTTTTTTTTTCCTGACTTCCTACCAGTGAAATCTCCCATTCTCACTATTTTGCTAAACTCTTTATAAATATATATTAGCTACGCTGTTCCACTGGACAGTCCTCATAATAAATTACACACCGTAACAAGCACTATTCACATTTTCCCACTTCAGATATAGCTCTGCTCCCCGAGTTGTGTAGACTTTGTTGAGTTAGGGTTGCTACATTTACATTTTAAACGTGCCTACGAAACTGTCGTTCCCCACCGTGCAAGCACAGGGGTCTGATCAGGCTACACACTCTCATCCACCCAGCCACCACGCATCTTACATTAAAGCCTCTTTAAAGAAAAGCAGGGTATGCTTTACCATGACTTATGTGCAGTTTTCGCATCCAGGGGTAGATCTGGGGCTGTGAAGGCTGAGCTGTGCTTTGGTCATTCTGGGCACTTGCCTGGTCGCTGCTTGCTGGGGTGTCATCCTCAGTGCCAGACGACGTGCCAACCCCCTCTCTGCTTATGTGAGTGCTGCTGCTGGAATTGGACGAAGTGCTGGTAGAGTTAGCTATGGAGTTTTTCACCCCGTGATGACTCTCGCTGACAGGCGAAGTGGCCACGGCGGTACAGGGCAGAGGGTCAGGTGGAGGCGAATGTGAAGACGTTGCAGGTTGGTTATACCTGGGCTCTGTCGATGCAGAGGTGGTAGTGGCTGGGTAATTGCGAGATCTTTCATTGGCACCAAAGTGGTTGGAAGCTGAGCGCCCAACGCTGAGATCCATGCCATTGTAGCCGTACCCGTACCTGCTGGAATGCATGCTCGCTGAATCCCTGTATTGCTCGCTCACGGAACTATGATCTCCATAATTATGTAACTGGTAGTCCGGGCCATTTGGATAGCGACCGCAAAATGAGTTTACAAAATAAGAGCTCATTTGTTTTTTGATATGTGTGCTTGATTTGTGGCTCTTGGTCGTTTTGTGCGTCTATAGCACCCTTGCACAATTTATGATGAATTATGGAAATGACTGGGACATGTACTTGGTTCCCTCCTACGTAGGCACCCAAATATGGGGTACGACTTCAAATCACGTGCTTTTGTTGTCCAGTCGTAAATCCTGCCTGATGACCTCTAGAGGTAAACTCGTGCACTAATGGGGGAGCTGGGTGGATGCTGGAGGGTTGGCGCGCGCGCCCAAGGCGCGCTCCCGCTTCCAGCTCCTGATTGTCAGTCGGACTCTTGCGCCACCCTCTGGAGACTAGTTAGATCTTCACGCTTCCAGCCAGGGTCTGCAGGGCTGGGGTCGACTCGAGGTTACAGCCCATTATAGCAAAATTATTGCATTTCTCTCACAGTTCCATTAGTATGTACCAATTGTAACGGGCTATCGGCTGCAGACCACAAAACCAGGAATAATGCAGGAGTTTGAGGAAAATATTTGCTTTTATTTTCAATAGCTTTCTTTTATTCTTTAATTCCTTCCTCTTCTGTTCTGCTATAGATTTTTAAATACAGAAACAACTTCGACCTCTTTTTAGGGTGATGCATATTTAAACCTATTGAAAAATATAAATCCTCACACACTGGCAACAATTACAGTCCTGTGTTGCAGTCGCTTAAGAAAAGCTGTACTGACGATTTTAAATGGCAGGTACCTATTAAAAATAAATATTGTATAGTAGTTTTCCAAGTGGAGTCAAATTCTATATAGTTTTACGGTCGGCGGCTTTTTTTTCAGATAAATACAATGTTGGGGCGGTCATTTGACATTAATATTTTCGCGATTTGGGACTATTCAGACCGGTAACCCAAATAGCTTTTCCTTCCGAATAAAGGGGTCTTTGTGCGTACTGTACACATATTCACACATACGTATACGTATCTATTAGTAAATATTTTTCACTGCAAGTATTTTAGTCAGTGAAAGAGAACTCTACTTGGAATAATTTTAGAAGCTAGTTTCTATTATCTATTTAGTCTTCTGTGCTAGGAATTTCGAAAGCAAATAAAGATAGAAAAAAGAGGCACGATTTAACATGACAGACCATTGATTTTTAATTTTTTGAAACTCCCACAATCTTGCTGCATGATTAAAACCCTCTCCTTGCTCAGTGAAAACCTTCTTTACTATCAGTGCCACATCAGGAGCCGCAGAAATCTGCCCGCCTCAAAACCTTTTATTTTCCCGTTGTAAAGTTTAACTCATAGTTTTTTCTTTAATACCAGCGCAGATTTTGTTCAATTTAGAGGAATCAGCTCTGGGCATTTTAAAATCTCTCTGCGATTCGTCCTCGATTTTAATGGAAGTTAATAGTCAGGATTTGTAAATCGACTTTTTAAAAATGCCGTTACCTTCTCTGTGTTAATTAAATCTCGTATACACGTGTAAAACATTTTTTTCTAGAGGCCCTAAAATCCCAAACACAGTAGAACAAGACGCCTGGGTTAGAAAAGACATCAAATCAGGATTTTCTAAATCAGGCGTCATTCCACAATATGAACGTTTCCAATTACAAAAATCTACTCACTTATCTGTTGCCTACAGCCATACGGTGGTATCAGAGACATTCATACAGACATCGATACTCACTTTAAAACATTTATAATTATAATCTGGTTTTTTTTCTGAATTACTTTAAGCAAGGTTATCTAGGCTTTGAAAAGGTGACCATATACACTACATAGCTCTAAATCAAATACTTCTATTTTAAAATAAATTCACAGTTGATTGCAAATGTATATATTTTAATCAAGCCTTTGGGAATCAACAGACTGTGAAAAACCTATAGGATTTTAGTAGCAGAAGGAACACAAGAAAAAAAAACGCTAAAAAGGAAAAGGCCTGGTAACTTTTATTCAGGAGTATTCTACTCCCCTGACTTTTCCTCTGTTTCTTCGCTGCTGGGCTGTGTGGAATGTAGGAGTTTGTTTTCCTTTTTCCATTTCATTCGCCTGTTTTGAAACCATATTTTAATTTGTCGTTCAGTAAGGCAGAGAGCGTTTGCAATCTCAATCCGTCGTCTTCTGGTTAAATATCTGTTAAAATGAAACTCCTTTTCTAACTCTAGAGTTTGGTATCTGGTGTAAGTTTGCCTCCCCCGTCTCCCATGTGTTCCATACACTGTACCTGTAAAAGTAAAGACAAAATTATGGCATTGAACAAGGCCCAATGATCTCAAGTTAAGAAATAATGGTCAGTTGCATTGTGCCTCCTCTTGCAGAGACAATCACATCAGGGGTGTGTGTCTACTCTGATTTTCAGAAGTTTTCCTGATTAAACATTTCTAAATGAAGAAGAGCATCATTATCATATTTCAAGGTATAATTCTGATATACAGATATTTATTGGGACAAGCATTTACCCAATGAACGAGAAATATTTAAAACGTTTATATATACGTATGTGTGAGAGATATACAAATATGTGTGAGTATGTATACAACTATCATAGTTACTATGACTATAGCAGAACTGTAATTAAGTATGGTCATAGTTAAAGCTCACAGAAGCAACTAAAGTTCCTAGAACAGCCCCTGGCATTTGCTCCTGAATATGGTGCACTCAAATGCAAAAGGGCTCTTCAAAATAAAAAATGTCTTTAAAAGTTAAACTTTTCAAATAAATATAAATCATAATCCCATCTTTTGAGAGATAATTAGGTGGAAGGTGACGGAAGATTTTATTTTTTGAAACAGTTGAAGTAAACAAGGCAATGTGCTTATTCAAAACAAGTGCCATTTGCTCCCATCCCAAACTGTCCTGTTGTGTAAACTTCACTTTATGTGAGACAAAATTCGAGGTGATTTGTAAATGTGCACACATTGTCCGAAAACGTGCTTTCAATAACCAATATTTGTATACTAATGGGCTTGGGAGGGTCCTACAAATAAATGGGGGTAGGCAGTACAGGGGGCATGTTACTTACATCAGTCTTTGACACTGAAGGAGCGAAGAAGAGGTTTCTTCGGGGAGGGATGGTTATTAGTAATTTGTGAATGCCTATTTTTCAGTTATTACTAAGGAACTGCACCAAGTCAGCCAAGTTTGGAGCAGATTTTTCCTAAACTGCTTTAAGGCTGCCAATATGCCAGGGCTAGAATAACCTGGAAAGGTTTCGTGTTACACATTACCTCGCAGGAGTCATTGCTCTCCGACAGTTTGGACGCCCTTTCTGAAAGTCTTTCTCAAAGAAACTTTTCTCTCACTCTCTCTCTTTATTGCATTCAAACGACTTACCAGCGCAGGAGTTCATCCGCTGCATCCAGGGATAAACAGGGCTTGTGTACTTCCGGTCGCTGCCTTCCTCATTTAAAATTTTGCTTTGCACACTGTCGGATTTGTATGGTTGATCAGGAGAAAAGTGCAGATAGTCACCGTGTCCCCTCTGCTTGCCACTGCCGGAGGGAGAGGCGCTACTTATGTCCTTCTCAGAATAAAAACACGAGGCTCCATACTCATAGGATGCCCGATTGCAAGCAATGACCGTGTTGGACTGTTGGTAAAAACAAGGTGAGGTGTAGGTCTTGTCCTGCAGGCTTGTTGCCCCATAAGAAGCTGGGAAATGCCTCAGAGCATCATAGCCAGCTGGATAAAGGGGGATTTGCCCGAGGAAAGAGTCCTGGCCATTAGGCAGGCTCCCAGGGAAAGTGGGATTCACAAAATAGGAACTCATTTGCTCTCCCCTCTCCAGGACTGTGATTTGTTGTGTATTAGTACATCTGGCTATAACTATTAGTAGTCATCGAACTGGTTTGTTTCTGGATGGCCGAGCGCCAAAAGCGACAGCAGCAAATAGCACCAGCTGACGGCTCGGCGGCCAATGGGAGCGCAACGTGGAGCCCGCTCCCCTGGGACCCGCAGCGACCGAGCCAGCAAAGTTACAAACAACCCCGAGCTCGCACACCCGACAGATGGATGGCAACACGCACACACACACACCACCCTTAACGTGGCTAAGGGAACGTGGGAGGTGGGACCTGTTAGGGGGGAGGGGAATGGGTAGGGAGTGGTACTGTAAAAAACAAACAAACTGCAAAGCTTAAAAGAGTGCGGCAAGCGGCGGCCGCGAGCGCCCCAGAGGCAGTGCCCTGTGGCAGCTGGTGAAAAAGGGGCAGCTCTCTAAAGTTAGGATCTTCACTCTGGAAGATATGCAAATCATCACACGGCGAACCCCCCTCCCCCTCGCTCCCCACCCCGGGGGGTTGGACTACCCCCGTCCTTTCTATATTCCTATGGGAAAGGTAGAGGATGATTGACGTTAGAACTGAAAACTTTGGAGCAATTAAAATCCGTGGAAGGGGAATGAATCAGCGATGGCATCTGAGCTGGCCGACTTTGTAAACAAATATCTGTTTTCTTAACACAGTGCAAAGAAAATGATTTTATTAAACTAAATATACTGAAAGCCCCCAAATAATATTTCCCTCCCGAGCTTGAGCACCAAGCATCTTCGCCCCAGTTCAGAATCCAGCCTTTGTGTTCGGATTGAGCCATATTCTCCGTTGTTTATTGAAGGGAATCTCGTGCATTTATTGAGGGGAATCTTCAGATAATGAAAGTGGAGATTATGGATCGGACAGGAAATGGTGGCCTCCTAGGTTTATTTATTTATTTAGATACGTGTTTCAAAAGGAGTCACTGGCAGAGGTTGGAACAGGTTTCCAGAGCTCCCAGACAAGATGTAGTCAGATAAAGTTACCCGTGTTTGTTTTCTTTACATTCGAAAAGGGTATTTTGCTGTATCTGAAACGACGATTTTAACACTGTAGTGGTAGAATTATTCCTAATGAAAATAGCCATCCTAACGTGTATGCAGAGGCAAACCGATTTCGCTGTTGTTTCTAATCATTTAATTACCCACTGATGTTTTAACAAACATCTTAACGTATACTGTTCAACTTGGCGGACATATAAGTCTTGGCCCAGGGCAGAAGCAGTAGAAGTGCTGGTGAAATGCACAGAAAGGCTTTTAATTCAGCCGACTCCAGCAGTTCCTAAAAATAACAAGGAGATTATTCATTCCAAGCCCTGTTTACTCATAATACGTGACTATGACAACAGACTGAACAGCCGATTTTTAAACCCGCTGGAGTTTGTACTAACTCTGTTTCCTATAGCACCTAAACTAGTTTTGGAAACGTGAGTTTTGTTGTTGTTGGAAAGTTCCGTGTCTCATTTCCGGAGGATGATTACGGTACCTATAAAACAGTAGTGAGTTAAAACATCTCTCCACAATAGTTGGTATTGTTAACGTTCTCAGTTGGACTTTCACACTGAGATGTTGATTACCTTCCATTTTTATTTTTTCCCCCATTCTCTTCTCCGACTTTAATCTATATACACATCTGATAGACTAAAACTATATGCATCGAGGGAACAGCTGAACGTTATGTTTAGCTACTCAGAAGAATCCCTACCCTGAAGAATTTGCACTATGTGTGTGTGTGGGGGGGGGGGGGGGGAAGGGAGAACAGGAGGACTTGTGGCACCGTAGAGACTAACAAATTTATTTGAGCATAAGCTTTCCTGAGCTACAGCTCACTTCATCGGATGTGCTGGGGGAAATTCTGAATACAAATGAGGTTTTTAAATATGTGAAATTTTTCAGCAGAGGCTAGACCGGAAACGTGCCATGAAAATTAAGACTCGGTGAATACAAAAATCCAACGCCCTTACTTCTTTTAAAAAGTTGTGGTCAGAGGTCTTTTTTTTTTTGAAGACGCACTGGATTCATCGCGAAAAATCAGCGGGTTATAAATATTTAAGTTTTATTATGTCGGTCTCAGATTGATATTATCTTTTTTTAAAGGGATGGGAGGAAAATGATTTGCCCAGGGATGTTAATCGGCGGCTCTTGTTCTAGACAAAGTCAAAATCTCTAATGTCTCAGCATAACAAATGAAAACATTTCCCAGTTGCTTCCGCCGCACTACACCGCAAAATAAATGAAAATACCCATTTGTTTTGGTTAGGGTATGTTGCAGTAACAGCGAAACAATTTTCATGGCAATCGTGGTTTCAGTTACATTCAAAAACCAAAAATAAAAAAACCCTGCCACCATAAAGCTTTTACCGTGAGCGTTCCCAGCCAGATAGGTTGAATGGCAGCTTTATATGAACATTTATCTTCTAAAAGTGAATATGGAAAAGCTCACCACTGCACTTCTGCAACTGCGACAAAGTAAGCAGTCCTGCACCTCCCATTAATTTCTTAATTATGGAAAAATGTCAGCACACAGTTGAAAAAAATGGGATTCGCGCTTAAACAAGACGCGGGTTGTTCTTTCTTTCTTTCTTTCTTTCTTTCTTTCTTTCTTTCTTTCTTTCTTTCTTTCTGTCAACAGACTCCATCACTCGAACAACGCTAGAGTACAGGTGCAGGGCAGTTACCCTCTTGAGCTTAACCCCCACCCCCCTTTACATACTATCTAAATCCACTCACAAATCCTTCTCATGTGCAGAGGCGCAATAGAAAACAACCTTTAACTAATAGCCTATAGTCCAAACAGTTCTTGCAATCCAAACCATTGTTTAGATTGAACTCCTAATAGTAACCTCACTGGGCAGCCTCAATCTTATCCCATTAAACCAAGTCACACTGGGACATTTTACATTCTACACACATCAAAGTTTTTTTTAAAAACAAAAATCCCCCCCCCCCCGGCGTAGAAATAGCCCTTGCGTGGTGGAGTTTGAATGGTTTCCCTAAGTAGGCCGAATTTTAGGATTTCTCCAAGAGGATTGCAGACAATTAGCCTTTTACTTGCTGCTGCCTTTGGATCGCCTTGTTTCCACCACACAGTGGCAGCACTGAGAGTCTCTCGCTCCGCCATAAATAATCCGACACTCACTGCAGTTGCAGTCAAGCAGATACTGCAATGCAATGCAAATGTAATTCTTTATCAGCCCGGAGAACACAAACAACACCGGTGTTAACATCTAAAGCACTCACAGCTCATTCTTAATTACTGTAATGAATATCAAGATATTGCAGGAGCAGAACCCTGAACCAATGCCGCGGTTTCCAGAACACAAATATAGGAAGCAACGCCAGCTTGGTGAAAGACACTTTATGATGTCAATACCTGACTAAAATAGTCCGGGTCCAGATCTGTTTCCTCTCCCCCCCCCCCCAACACACACACACACACCGTGTTCCAGTTTTTCAAAATCATAACTAAATTGGCAGAGTACCTCTTATTTTCTTCAATTGACATCGAAAAAGCTTCATTTCAGGATCTGATGTAGGATTGATTGCTTAAAGTCGAGCCTTAGATACCATTCATCCATAAACTACGTATTTAGAAAAATGTCTGTAATATTGTTCAAGCTCCGATCAACACATGACGTGACACGGTTAAACTGTATACAATGATTCATTTGATAAAGCAACCTATACACATATTTCCTCTATTCTGCTGTTACAGAAATATCCTTTCTCTCGCCTGGAAATTTTATGGAATGAGAAGATATTATGCCGATTGGTCTCTTTCTGAAATTGTAAGTGTATTTAAAAAAAAAATCTAAGTTGCAATTAACACAAATGCATTTGCTAATGCTGGGAAACAAAATTAATACATTTTGTTGGGCAAAGAAACTCGGTATGATTTTATAAATCTGAATTACAAAATAATAATAATACAAATCTGAATGTGATAGCAAATCTTTTAAAAAATACCTTTATTAAAATTACACCTCAGCCTTGCTAATAACAAACGCTTGAATTTTTGCATGCACTGGTTAAATATAAATAAGATAAATATTCTATTGGTAATCCTTCAGTTGGTATCAATTCATGTCTATATATATATATATATATCGGTCCCATATAAGTATATATGGGTATTAAAATAATGTTACCCTGCTTATGGTAGTGTTACATACGTTTCTCACCTTTAGGTTCTGGCTCGCAGGAGCCCCTGCTACTTTGACAGCTGTCGCTTTGGCTGCACAGGAGACGAATCGCCCTCCTTTTGGTGCCAGAAGAAGCAGGAAATTAGCCAGGTTGCAAGTTGAAAATCTGCCACTCCAGTGCTTTGAATCCAATATGCCACACCTTCCAGAGGAGGAATTGGAAATTGCCATCCAGGATCTGTGTTCTAGGCGGCTGCTTATGCTGAACCTCCATACACTTTGTTCACTATTGCCTTACAAAGAACAAATGAAATGGGGGATTGAAAGCCAGAGAGATCCGAAGCAGGACAGAGCTGAGCAAAAGAATGCAGCTCTATTCTCGCAAGGGAAATTATAAAAAAGTTCATGTTCACGGTTACCATCCACATGACCGACAGCGACCAATGGAAAAACCGAGCAACTCATAAAGTTGTATTGCAAAGTTGTAAATTTTCATAAACAACAACGGATTTATGGCCTTTTCCTCATCACTAAGAAGAGGCAGGTCTTAGAGAGGCGCCATCTTACCAGAGAGGCAGCCCTGGAGTTTTAAAAGACCTAGAGTTTGTTCTAATTTTATTAAAATTGCAATTAGTACATTTACCAGCAACTGAACACAGCAGAGCTAGGGAACTACTCTGCAGATGAAAGTATCATTATAGATATATTTTTTCTTGCCCTCTAAAGAGAATTTCATGCATGATCTTTTTAAATTCCATATTAAAATACGGTATCTGCTTTACCAGTTGTAATAATGGGCAGGGAGAATATTTTTAAGTATAGGCGGTTCGGTTCGGTTATTTGTTTTGATTTTACATTTTTTCTATTGCCCTAATAGGACTGACACGCAGACACACACCTGTCTTCAACATTTTGAACTTTTGCAGTGCAGTTTGCGTCTATAATCAAATATCATTCTGCTAACGCGGATTTCCGCCTGCACATAGTTAGGTTTCATGTCTACTGTGATTTTAAGATTTCACTGAAGCACATAGGAGCGTCTTGTTTAAGGAATGATCTCTGCTTAATTTATCAACTCAGGTGAAAAATCTAGATAGAGAAATTGACTGATTCCTAACAATTCATCGCCTATGAATTTTTGGTTTTGATTGCGGATAAAAATGATATATTTGATCTCATTTCTTTATTTGGCCGTGTAAATTGTATGCTTCTTTTGAACTGTTCCCTAATAAAGAAACACAATTCATTGTCAACAAGCATATTTATTTCCTGTGTAACATAAAACACATTTATCGTGGGAGATATTTGAACACGGTATCACTTCCAAAGAGAGCTCACATACATTTTTTCTCCACTGCCAATACTTACACGGCATATCCAAATGTTCACAATGAACACATCGAAACACATTGTAACATACAATTTATGAATAAACTTTAGCCAAACTTTCATTAAGGATTTATACAGAGTTCTTAACAATACATCATGCTACAAAGTTACCAATTTAATTACAGACTTCCCAGTTTATGACCTGATCTTACAAATGATTTCAAGACAATATAAATGACAAAAATTTCGTTTAAATATACAGTATTTGCTATTGTAGGAAAATTCACGGTATTACATATTAACACATTCTGAAACCAGGACAAAAAGATTTTTGAGAGGTGCTAACATGGTCGTCTTAATTCACTTTTTAAAGAACATTTTCCGCTATATTAAGTAGGATGAGCCTAGAAAACAAAACGGCCTGTAACAATGTACTTCAAAAGGTAGGAGCTAACAGAAGATATTAAAGCGCTTTGTACAATATTAGTATGTGTTTTCTTCTTCACGCGGAATAGTAAAGGATTGAGAAGAAAGATATATTGCAGCATATGGTTTCATTTATAATTGCTTTGGAATAAATATATTATTTTTCAATTTAAATATATTCAGCGTTTTCGGTACCAAATTATATACCAAAGCCATTGATGCGTGCTTTTCAAAGGACTACACTTAAGTTTCTAAAAGCATTCTGCAATTCACATTAGTATGTTATCTTCTTTTGATTAATAAAATACAGTATAGCTTAGAAGATAGGTAGGCGGAGCAAGAAATAGGTAGTCTGGAAATAGGTAGTACATATAATTGTTGTAGGATGTAGTGGTTTCTGTTTCATTATTTTTACAGGTTTTTTTTCACTTCCTGTTTAATATTGCCTGTTTGTTGTGATCTTTTTAAATAAAAGGAAACAGGAAGTGTAGAACTATTGATTCTAAATTAGGTAGTTTTTTATGTGACCCTAATGCACTTACCCCTTAACAACTGATTGGGACTAATTGAGTCAGGTAGTTATGCTGGAAGTTAACGTTTTTCTGCATGTGCAAGTAGCAGTTCTCTCACGCAAATGTACCCATACAAAACACACCAAGGTTTGGGCAAACGAAAATAAAATTATTCGGATGATCTTATGAGAGATTCCAAATAGGTTGGACAGGACATGTGCGCGGTTTGGGGAGGTGGGGACTGGAAGACAAGTCAGGGGACCTTTTAATGTTTGAAAATGCTCGGTTTCAAGATGTTCATGAAAGGGAACAGAATTTTTAAAATAAAACAGTGAGTCTTTTCAACGAGAGCTTTTACAACTGTCACGTGCATACATAATACTAGAGATTGCTTCATCAAATGGGAGCTTTACTCGTCTTCTTCCTCCTCTTCTTCCACTTTCTCCACAGACGCTGTTGCTGACGTGTTCTCGTTGGTCGCTGGGGTGCTGGAGCTCTCTTCTTTATGTTCTTTCTTCCATTTCATCCTCCTGTTTTGGAACCAGATTTTGATCTGCCTTTCAGTTAGGCACAGAGCATGAGCGATCTCTATTCTCCGCCTGCGAGTCAGATAGCGGTTAAAGTGGAATTCTTTCTCCAGCTCCAGGGTCTGGTAGCGGGTGTACGTCTGCCGACCTCGCTTCCTATCTGGACCTGAAAGCAGGCAAACAGGCACAGAAGTTAGCCAGAAACCTGAAAATAATCAGTTCGATGGAAAGTTGGAATTTACAAACAGCCATCCAAGCAACTGGAGTAAATCCTCTTCCTTTATTCCCTCCGCCCCTAACAAAGGCATTTCTCTCAGACAGCATGCCCAGTTCCAACATGGCAAATTAAAGTTCTCTGAAATATACCAAAGTGGAGAGAAAACATTACAAACAAAAAACATTTTGCTTCCTAAAGGATGAACTTTACACTCGGCTCTGTTTCTCAAGCGTCCTCCAGACTTTAGTGTTTCACAAAGAAAAGAAAAGCAGGGTCTGGAACTTCCATTTATTTATTCATTCATTCATTCCAGGGGCTTTTTAACAGATTATAGACACATACTAGCATTAGACTCAAGAACGGAGCTCACATTTTCCGGGTCCCTTTCCTTTTTACACATGTGTACAGACCCTGATCCCCAGGAAAGGCAGATGACACATTTCACACTAACAGTGAGCTAGAGCACCCCTGCGCCCTGAAATAGTCTCTCCTCCCTTCTTTAGCGCCCCTCTTTTTCTCTTTCCTCTGCGTTTTCCACCACATATGATTTTTGTACATTTTGTTGGGGTGGGGTGGGGGTGGGGAACACTTACCCGTGTGGGGTCCCAGAGTACATAGCCAGCTCTCCATATTTCTATATCAAACCGCACAAATAAACGCAATACTAAAATTCCATAGCAAATTGACTTAAATAAATTTACGAGGATAGAACCCATTAATTGAGCAATAAAAAGTTTTATGATACTCATTTACATACAATGCCATGGGCTTTCTACGCAATGGCGCCTCTGCTATAATTAAAACCATAAAGGCTGTGCTGACAGTAATTTCGGCTACACATTTGCCTGGCTGCCATAGCTTTGCCCTCTCCATTCCCCATACCTGAAGACCTCATCCAGGGGTATATCCGGAAATTAGCCTCAGCCTGGCTGTGCAGGTTGCTTTCCTCCGCTTTCTCACAGCTGGATTTGGTTAGATCATTGCAGAGAACGGGAATGTTCTGATCAAAAGAGGAACAATGCAGGTTGTAGGCATCTGAGCCCAGGCTGTATCCGGAAGAGAACGGGTTTTGATATATGGTACTGTTCACATTGTACAAGCCAGGCATGGAGGAGGTGAAAGCACTAGCCCCTGGTCCATAGCCGCTTCTCTGAGAGTTGGTTGCAAAGGAGCAAGAAGTAGGCTCTGCATTTTGGAAAAGAGAAGCCCCCGTCGTATATTTGCTAAAAAGAGCGTTCACATAATACGAAGAACTCATAATTTTGACCTGTGATTTGTTGTCCGGTAGGCTTCAGTGTCGGTTTTACGAGGTAGCGTGATATATGATAACATTACACCCCCAGATTTACACCAAACCCCATTTTCTTTTGGACTGAGCTGCCTCCAGCACGTGACCAGTCATATGACCCCATCCTCCAATCTCCTCCTGCATCACAGGTGGTATGGATCAGGGTGTCTCACAGTATCCTATAATGGAAGGGGAAGAGGATCAAATATATGTCTAACAAATTAAAGACAAGGGAGCTTTTGGTTAAGGGTGCCACATGGTAGATGATATTTTGTAAGATCCCTATAAAGTATAGTAAGTAAAATAAACAGAGTTTTATTTGGTTCTATTATGAAACTTAAACCGCACGTTGTGCGATGCAGATCTCTCTATTCTAGAGCTGTATAGGATTAGGTATGGCTGCGCCCGTATTGCTCCCTGCCTCTCAGTTTACTCCTCATTTTCTGTCTTTTTTCTTCTTCTTTCTGTTTTTTTTTAAAATCCAAGTCGAGATCGCATAACATTGGACTATATTATAATATGCGTAGGGGGCTTTTCCATTTAATAAAAGCTACAGTGCTCAGCTGATCAATATTTAGTGTTGGGGGGGAAGCACATCTTGCACATTAAAAAGACTCCGCAGTAAACTGAAACTATGTCTCTCTCTCTCTCTCACACACACACACACACACACACACACACGTTTAAATAATTTTGTTACTCACGCATGCATTATTTTTCTGCAGTGAAAATAAGTATATATTGCGTTTCCTGCTTTTCTAACAGATGTGTTGAGATATTGAGATTTTACATTCTGCTAATCGCTTTCGGCAAGATGGATCAGGATGGGGTTGCTCCAGAAATCCACTTTTAACTCTTTTGCAAACCAGCATGTCTCAAAGGAGGAAGCGAGTGCTGGATAACAATTCTGAAAGAATATTGATACTCCTGGGCTCTTATAATGATGACACGCATACATTACCGAACCTCGTGTGTGAAATTTAGTTCATCTCTTCCGATTTCAAAGGTGAATTAATATATCGATCACGCTTTATATTTATAATACTCCGTTGCTAAATCTGTATTGTTACGACTGTATTCCTGACGGATTCATTACGTCTAATAGCAGAATAATTCCACTTTCCCCCAAAAAGAGGACACCTCTCGTCTGAACACCTTTTAAAAACCGATAAGTCCTGGAGTCACACATGTAGGGCTTCAGATCTTAACTAATTGTTTAATGCCTTCTTTGCCTTTCAAAGTACCTACCTTACCATCCGAAGAGGGAGACAGCAAAGTTACATTTAGATCACGGGTAACGTTCCTCATTTTCTAAACACTCCGCTTTCCAACAATAAGAATGACTTTCCATTGAGGATGCTGCACCGTACCCTTCCTTTAAACGGATCATAAAATGGGTTTCCTTCTCTCAGACAGGGAGTCCTGGTAAAGACAGCTTTTACTGCCCTGCTATATTGCACATCATAAACTGGAAGAAGCACAATGGAATTGCCCCGGAAATTCTCCTTTAAATTATAGAGTTTAATGCCCTGTGTACAAAGAACTTCTCACCAGTTAAAATTGTTCTTGGCGATATTTCGCATTGACCCTAGAGTTCACGTTTTGAAAACCTAAGGAAAAAAGAACGCTTGAGGACTGTTTACGTGCGAATATTGCAACAATCCCACGTAGGGTAAGGAGAAAAACAAGTGAAATTGACTAAAGTGAAGTCATTTAGATATTTGTTGTTAAGAGTATGCAAACGTTGTGACTACCTCTAGATATTTGTCAACAGCTAAACATGTACAAACCAGGTTACTATTAGCAATCTAAAGCCAGCATCTGAATAAACAGCTTCCTCTTTATTTTGTTTCAGAAATCTTACTCCTCATTACAGCTAGTTACAAAAAACGAAGAATTACAATCCCAACAGACTTTTTGGAAAGAAATAAAGGCCCAAGAAGTTAAACGAATGTGAAGCAACCAAGAAGACTACTAAGAAGATCAAAGAGGCTGAATTAGACGGCATTAGACCAATAAATTGCTCCTCTGGTGACAACATACCAAGATGCAAGAAGAAAGAAACAGCAAACATAACCAATGTCTAGACTTGGGTATTGATAAAGCAAGACAGGATTTTATAGAGGAGCCTTAAAAAGAACATTTAAGTGTGTCTCGCTTCTTACAACATATTTAAAAGTAATCAGGATATTAAACATAGATACCACCACCTTTGATTATTTTCCTTTCATCTTTCTAATGTCACCTCTTGTAAACAATATTAATATTTCACACGAAGTTCGCACTGAATAAGACACACCAGGAGTCCCAGGAAAGTGCTTTCCCCGCACCTATTCAACAAAAGGCTCCTTAAAATACTACCTCTGGAATAGACTCTAAAACATGGCAATCTTCTGCATTCTACACAGCACTGGATAGTGCTTTAGCATATTTCTGAAACTGCAACTTTCCACTTTAATGAATTATTACATTCAAGAAAAAATCTTGGACAAGTAAATCGCAAGCTTTCAGCTATCAGAATATCATCCTATGTTTTAAAAAGACCTTAGAATTTTTTTCTTTTTTACTAGTAAAGAGCCGGACTATGTCTTATGACATTCTGAGCTTTTCCCAGAATGGAAAAGGTAGTGATAAAATGGTGCGCAGAAGTTATACGCAACCTGGGAGCACGGCACGATTATCGGTTGTGTGTTAAGCAATATTCTGATGCAACGGTGACCCTGGACACTACTCTGTTGTTTCAAAACATGTTACCACTATAATTTATCCAATATGGTAATGGGACATACCGCGCCAAATTATTACTTACTTTTAAATGCATAAGCACATGTTCATTTCAGTATAATTTTACTGCTCAAGACAAATAATCAAATCATTATTTTAAAATACGAATCTATGCAGACATTCGATGTGAATAGGCTTATTAGAAACCTGAGAAAGTGATTGTTCTATTTCAATCATATTTTACCCTAAAAATACTAATATACGAAAGTGAGGCGGAAAAAATAACATAACCCTCACATCCCTTGCTCATTCTGAGAATTGGTTTCAAGAAATTGCCTTTAATTTAAATAAATATTAATGAAATATATAAAACCAGTTAAGTAAGGTGACTCCTAGGGGGCGGTTCATTTTCTTCGTTTTCCTTAACTTGAAAGATATAAAACTAATATTTTCGATCATGTGTAGAGGGTCCCTTTCTTTATTTTTCTTTCGGTTAGTTTTTCTCTCGTTTCCACGACTGATTTGACAAAAGATAACCTAATTCCACTAAACTGCTTTCTGAAAGCAGTTAGCGAGGAACAACGCAGTCAACAAAACCAAAACGGATAAATACTAAAATTAACCAGGGAAACAAAAAGAAGAGGCATGGAGAATTTAAGAATTAATTTGAAGACACATCTCCTCAGACTGTTAGCGTCAGTATGATATAATTAAACGGGTCCCACAGAGCTGAAATTGCTAGGAACCCAAGCAGTGTTTTATCTGTATCAAAGACAGCTGTTGAAGAATTTCAGTTGCCAGTAAATAATGTTCAAATTAAAGTTTGCAACCTTGCCTCTTCTTTAATGAAGGCGGTTAGGTTGTACGGTCAGCAAGGAGAGTTCCATTGGGGAATTAGTTTGACTCTTTGTTCGTTCCCCGTACAAAGCCCACGTCTTGTGAAATCACATTATGGACTTGAGTATGAAAAACACCTCCGCCCTTCACAGAAAGCTAAATGACATTCGAATCATTATGTTCGTACTTTTTAAATCCCCGCTTCTCCTAAATATTAAAGTTCTTACGAGCCGTGAATGAAATCGGAATACTTTGCTTGTACATTAATGGGTTAATAATAAAATGTTTAATATTTTTGAAAAAAGGAAAGGTGAAAAGGGAATTGAATAGTGTATAAAGGCGTCAGAGGTTTATGTTAACTAATTAGAAATGCTTTAATGCTTTGATAATTAAAAATAAATAAATCATCTGATAAAATCGGAGACTGAAACTTTACCTTTTCAATTACTGCGGTTAAGATAGGCAACACAGCAAGCCTAATACTAACTATATTATTTTTCAATGATGCATCATTCACAATAAGCCCAGAGTAAGAACTGTTGACCTTGGTTAACATCAGATCAGTTGTTTCCGATCCAGTTATTCTCCTGTAAAGTCGACATTTTAGGAGCTTTCAAGTGATCTCGCAGTATGCTTCATGGCGGGTTTGTAAATGTTTTCATGGAATAATACTGCCATCTGCTGTTCTATTTAGGACATTGCAAATAATAAATGATGCAAGAACATTTCAGTTTGCTAACAGTTTACGTCTCCGACAGCGAATACTTCAATAATCTGCCCGGCAAAAAGTAGCAATTATACAAAATGTTCCGGTCACAAATACATTACAGATAAACGTTCGCCTTCCAGCTTAGATTTCAGACGAGGAAAGCTAATAAAAGGTAGTTATTTCCGCACCCCCGTTTTATCTAAAACAGCCAGACAAAACAAATGAAAAGGCTTTGGTAGAAAATCTTAATTGTGGCTGGACAGTTGTAAACCCATTAAGAGCCGAATTCCAGACAGTTTGCAGACCCGTCATTTATTACACACTCTTAATGCTGATTCTTTGAAGTTTCCTCTGTCTGCAACAACAGAGGGCGTCCCGAACATCCCAAAACACTGGAACAGGGATCAATTAGGGTCTTTTTTTCTGTGTGAGTGTGCAACAAAACTATTTCCCCGTTACTAATTATAACCCATCAAAACTTATCAGAGATTTCTTTAAAAGAAGAAGAAGAAGAAGAAGAAGAAGAAGAAGAAGAAGTGAGGCTGAAAGATTTTCCTACCACACTTTTGCACTTCTGTAAGCTTCTTGCGAGCGCCCTAAATTTTGTCTTTAACCCTGCAGCGTTTTACACCCCATAAACGGTTACAGCAGTCATTTTCTTTTATTGCACTGTATGGCTCTGAATTTTCCTAGCAACATCTTCTGCCAAGAATTGTGACTATAAATGTTCTGGCTACTTTTGCCTTTAAAATGATACACTCACAAAGCATTTGTTCTACATATTTACAAATATGGTTTGCCTGGTCTTGAGCAGACGTGTATTCTGGATCGTATTTTGGAAGATTCCTTCTCTTGGCGGTAAGATGTTGGCCTACAGCAGGGATAACTTTAGCTAGCTCACAATCTTTGCTATTTGGTTTTGTTGCTCAGCTGGAAAAAAATAA